ATACTGTAGTAAGTCTATAGTTAGCCTGAAAGTGGCAAGTGACACTCACATGCAACATAAGGGCATGATAGAACTTGAGCTATTACTTAATGGCGTTTCACTTACCCATAAGATTAGTATGTTGCCTCGATATAGCTTCAACTGCATAGTAGAGACCGACCTAATAAAATCCCACCTCGACTACTACCTGTGCTCTACTAGACACAGCTAAAAGCGATTATGGATCACATACTCGATCGAATGATAATTCCGCCGTCTTAACTTTCTTTGGCCGTCTCCAAACCTCCAAATCATGAGGAAAGAGAGCAACCTGTAGTTATGCGTTGTACAGAAGGCGGCACTACGTTGCGACCTAAAGGCATGATAGGACTTGACCTATTACTTTATAACGTTTCTTTAATCAGCAAGCTTATTATTTGCCCATACAGCTTAGGGCTGCATATTGGGAGCCGATTTCCTACAAGCACATACAGACCGTATTATAGTATACTATTTACTTGTCTTAGTAAGTATGATTACTAGAATTAACACTATTAGCATAGACATATTACTTCTAGCAGCAGTATCCTAGTCCTCGTAGCTCAAACTTATTTGCAACTGACACAAGATAGTGGAGGTATGTGAGATGGCGGAAACTAAGGCAAGGTCTGATGTGTTCCAGGCCTCAAACGCGTATTTGCTCGGAATAGTATAAACACAGACTTACACTCCTTGTCGAGATCGAGGGAACATGGGCCCCCAGCGTTTACTTTCATCAGAGTCACCTCTGACTACCATTAGCGTCAGTAATAGTACTACTACTATCACTCACCTGCATTGCTAGTAAGTAGTAGTATAAATAATGGTCGTAATAGCAGTCTTGGTCTTCTTCAGTCTGTCTGGACACCTGCTTAAGGGTTAGTGAGTATAGGTATTGCGATAGTAGCAGATAAGTCTCAGCCACTTAAGACTAAGTTACGCCGTGTTCTGGCCTGCGGTCACCTCGACTCTGCCTTTTCACCGGTTCAAGTGGGTTGAAGCTGAAGAGCGCGGTAGACGGTTGCGCATCTACATACACTTAAAAGTAATCCTTGTCTACGGCCACCGTCCTTGCACCAATCCGTTTGGAAAACATGGTGGACTTCATTGAAATCGAAGGTGGACCAATCCTTTGTTAAACTCGCCTGGGTAGCAATGGCTCTCACAAGTTAGACTGATTAATCTTAGTAGAATAATCTCACTTCGAAGTACGTGTACAGTGATTTGGGAGAGAATCTGTTTTACCATTTCAACTACGTTATTAGTTCTGGAAGACATGCAAAACGTACTTGGCTTTCGAAGGAGGTTAGGTGAAAAGTTTATAATGGGTTAAGGGTCGTTCAAAATGAATTATTAAACCTATGCAAAAAAGAAAATAATTACAGCAGAGGTACTAACTAAAAGCCCAGACCTGCGTCTGGCCTATATTCTCCCGCTGCATGGTACACCTGCGAACGGCCCTCAAAATCCCAAACTATGCTTTCTGGGAGCTACCCGAGTTTTACAATTGTAGGTTTTGCAATTTCCTCAGAACTTAATATATAATTTTGAAGACATCAGTATATTCGAGGGTCCATAGGCGCAGTCCGAAATTTGGGTATAATCCTAGTTTGGGTCCCAGATCAGCACGTGAAAGTCCATCAGCCTGTAATACAGAAGCGGGTGAACTAAAGAGTATACATTCTAGGCAATACAAAGGAAAGTAAATAAAAATAAAGTTTATAAAAGATAAAAACACAAGAATAATTATTTAACTGCCCTAATGTTTGTCAACATAAAAGCGCACGATAATTAAAATCTGCAATTATGCAAACATTGGAAAATAACTTATTGAAAAAATAACGAACTAAAACTAAAATCATCTAACTTGAAAACGTAAAGTAAAGTAATCTAAACCGACTTTACTTAGAAAATAATCCAAAACTAAAATAAAAATTGTAAACATAATAATGAACTGAGAACCAAATAAAATAAACTAACGTATATTCAGAAGTCCAGTTTGGCGAGTATACGTGTACTTTCGACAAATTATCATCAGACCTTACATTTATATGGAAACTGGGTGCGAGTTTAAATGTGTTCGTCCTTTCGGACAAGTGAGTAGTGGAATGGGGGTGGGGGGTAGATAAGCGAAGGCTGGTTGTAAGGGTAGGGTCTGATGGAGCAGGAGGGGGAAAAGGGGGGAAGGAGAGAGACATAGCGTGGATGACTGCATGCCGCTAAGTGACTGTGGGCCATGCCAACCGTGGGGCTTGCAGGAAGTTTTTTTGTGCGCACAAAGCGGGCTTCATCAGCCTGATAACGGTCGCTTCTGCTGTTGCTAGCAGGCGCTGACCCAGG